AAATCAAAGACATAATTGTAAAGTAATAAAACTACAGCACAAGGAGAACAACAGCAACAGCAACAGCAACAACAGCAACAGCAACAGCAACAACAGCAACAGCAACAACAGCAACAGCAACAACAGCAACAGCACTACTGCAATCTTTTTGTTTGTTTGTTTTGCTTTTTTGAGACAGGGTTTCTCTGTGTAGCTTTAGAACCTGTCCTGGCACTCACTGTAGACGAGGCTGGCCTTGAACTTACATAGCTCCACCTGCGTCTGCCTCCCAAGTGCTGGGATTAAAGGCGTGCACTACCACTGCCTAGCGTACTACTGTAATCGTTACGATCGTGGACTGGGTAATAGTTTTGAGAAACAGATAAAACAGTTCATACACAAATGGATACATGTGTGTGCACGCACACAAACACATACACACATACATACACACACACACACACACACACACACACACACACACACACACACAGACAGACAGACACATAGTGCACTTTATTCTGGAAATAGAACTGTAAAGACAGAAATTACTATTGGCTGGCCTGGAACTCCCTATGTAGATCTAGGTCTTTTGGGGCTGGGGTTAAAGCTCTGTACCACCAAACCCAGCTGTTTTTGTCTTTTGAGATAAGATTTTGTTATGCAGCCCAGGTTGCACTTGAACTAGCCATCCTCCTGTCTCAGCTTTCTGAGTGCTGGGAATATAGGAATAAACTATCATGGCAGGCCCAAAAGTACTTTCCTGAGATGATAAAAATACTCCCAACTGTGGTGATGCTTACACCATGTGAATATCAGATACCTTAAATGAGGGAACATGTTATGAGTTACATCTCAATTAAGCTGTACTTTTAAAAAATACTGTGTATTCATAACAAAGGGTACTTGGACAACATTTACCAACTAAGAACTCATTAACTCATTTGTGAAATCTGTCCCTTTCATAGCCTTTCTAGTCTCTGCCTCTAAAAGGCCACACATATGAGGTCCCAGCCTTACAAAGCCTACTTGCTTAATCTCTGCCAAATGTAACTCCATTTAATGTCATCTGTCTCTATAGCAACCAACTAGAAAAGGCTGCTTTGTTTAGCAGTGACTTTGTACAAGCCGTGGTCTAGCCCAGAGGTGTTTTAAAGATCTGAACCCTCTATTCGTCACTCTACCGGCCGACGCCCACCTGCCAGTATCAGGTAAAGAGGAAAACCTGTGATGAGTGGGAGAAGCAAAGAAATAAAACACAAAAAGGGCACGTTGCAAGGAAGACAAGTTCAAGGGGTTAGAAAGACCCAATTTAAGAGAGGATGAGGACAGAATGGTTAAGAAATTAGAATGGTACAACAATTTTTAGACATTTCCATTAATACACTGGTTAAAGCAATGTAGTAACAGTAAGACAGAGTCTAACAGTCACATATCACTGCTTTGTAGGGCAGGTGCTTCCATTTATAGCCTTCTAATGGGTATTTCACAGCAGTCCAGCAACAAATGGGTATCAGATGGAAAAGGCACACTGTATGTAACACATGGAAACCTTACGGAACTTAAAGGGCTGGTGAGATGGCTTGTTGAGCAAAGGGCTGGCCATGCAAGCCCAACCACCCGAAACTGACTCCAGAAGCCAGGCTGGAAGGGGAGAGCACACTCTGGTTGTCCTTCCATACGTGAGTCATGCTGTGTACACACATGCACACACATACTCTCTCCCTCTTAAAAAAAAAAAAAAAAGAGAATTACCAAAGAAAAGGCCTGGGATGGGCTTTCCAATTGGGCATCAATTCTAAAACGTGTAGGGACGCAGGGGAGAATGTGCCTTCTGTTCTCTTCCTACTTTCAGAGCTGTCTCTGGAAAATACGCTGTCAGCCTGAGAGGCCTCCATGGCGAGGTTCTCTCTCGTTTTGCCCTGCGACATTACAGCCCATCTCCAGCACCTGCCGTGGCCATTAGCAGTCACAGTTCTATTCTCCTGGGATTCACTGGTGAAGTCATTAACACAGTGTTGGACAGTTTATGGCTCCCCCCACCCCTAGGAAATTTTATGCTTCAATTTTTCTACCCATAAAGAATACTCTAAGTTTTCCCTGCTGTGGTGAAGACAGAGAGTTTATGTCTACAATTTTTCAGGGAAATCGTATTTAAAACAGCCCCTAACTTTTTGCCATCTGTTACTGTAAAGGGGGCTTTTGTACTAATAAAGACCGCAATTCTGTATGCTTGGCCTGGGATGTAATTGCCTATCGTGTGGGAGAACCTGGGTGGTTCAATCCCCAGCACTGCAAACAACAAAAACAAGCCAGAAAAAAAAAAAAAAAAAAGATGGAAGTAATAATACCAATGACCTCTAAATCCTCCACAAGATTGTGCAAAATAAAACGAGAGCAACAAAAGCAAGGTTAGGAGTATACATGATGGCTCAGCAAGTAAAGGCTCTGCACATGGCAGCCTGGTGACATGAGCTTCACCCCAGAACCTGCATATAGTATAGGTTGGAGAGAGCCTACTGCACAAAGCTGTCCTCTGACCTCCACATGTGTTTTCCCCAACACCCCAATAATATACATGGGGGGCTCAAGACAGGATTTTTCTGTGTGGCTTTGGCTACCTAGGAACTCGTTTTACAGACCTGTCTGCCTCTGCCTCCCATCACCAGGCCCGATAATACCCTGGTGTTTCTATTTTACCTTTTGCAGTAGGCAGGACTCTATTTCATTCCCAGTTCCAAGAAAATTTTATTCAGCACATTTTAATCCTGCGGAATTTAACTTGCTTTTTCACTAGTCTCTGCGTAACCTCAATTTAACTAAATGTTTTAGTCTTAGAAGCCCTTTGTGGAGGAGTTTTAGATCCATGGAAACACTGCTTATCCATGTCACTGCTATTCAAATGTCAAGGTCCAGGTTCAACAATAGATCCTTCCATTGAAGAATGGCTATGCGCACCGCGATTCTACATCTTCCCATCATCTCCCTATTGCATTTCATGGCTCACAAAGTACTTGATAATACTGATGAATTTTAGGGCTAAACATGCTAAAATACTCAAGCAACCCTCATTCGCTATGAGAAAAAATGTCTCACAGTTTCACTATTTTTTTGAGGGGGGCTATCATTAACAAAAATACGATAGACTAGCTTAAACAGTACTGGAGGCTAGACCTTCCAAGACTGACAGCTTTGGTTTGTTTTTGCTCATGGCTAGTGAATGCTATCTTTTCCATCTTTGCTCACAAGGCCTTTATGCGTGTGTATTGTGTATATGTGTATTATTTATCTGCATGGTGTACTGTCTCTACCAATACAGTGTGATTTTTTTTTACTCTGATACACAGAAACAACTGTGATTGAACTGGTAGCCACCCCAGGCCCCCCCTTTCCAAGGCAGGGTTTCTCTGTATAGCTAGCTCTGGAGCCTGTCCTGTAACTCACTCCATAGACCAGGCTGGCCTCGAAGTCATAGAGATCTGCTTGCCTCTGCCTCCCAAGAGCTGGGATTAAAGGCGTGTGGCACCTAGTAGGCATTCCTGACTGCTCGCTCAGTCTACTGACAATAAGAGTAGTTCTCCCCCCCCCCACTTTCATATCCTTAAACTAAGACTATAGGCCTGTTCCACAATAACTTTAAAAGACAAAGATCTCATCATTAGCAACCCATCTAAATCTAAACATGTCCCAAGAATGACTAACCATTATCTGAAAGCTGCAGATAATACTAAGGAACAATTTTCATTCTGAATTTTATTTAATAAAGTTCAGTTTAGTCCCCAAGGGAAAAAGAAAGCCCAATAGTTTAAGAGTAACACCTCAACTTCGTAAAAGGAAACAGCTTACTTTCACAAAGACGTTAAAAGCTTCTGTTTCCCAGCCCACCATAGTCGCTAAACAGCATAAACAAGCAACATTGCCTCAATTAGGCCTTGAAATGGTTTCACAGGCATTACAGGTATAGGAGGGCCCCTCAGAATTTGTGGTGCTGCTATTTTAATTTACAAATGATTGGTATAAATTTTTTAAGACCCAGTGTCAATGGTATACCTTGTTTTCTCCTTTGTCAAAGTCTATTGTAATAAATGTGTTGTCCTTTGGTCCCCTGACACTTTCCTTTTCTTGACTTCTAACTTCTTGCTCTGGTCCCCCCAAAAGACAGAAATATGACTTTAAGTGATTGCACCTTTTTCTTTTACCTCCCTTTTCATTCTATTTTTCCAGGTCTGAAATGGGAAGAAATCGAGGTGCAGCCGAAGATCGTATGAGTTTTTTTTTTCCTCCTGGCTCTCTCTCTGTGTGTGTGTGTGTGTGTGTGTGTGTGTGCGCGCGTGATTTCCTCGCCCTCATTTTCTATTGCCAAAACGTCGATAAGTGGCCAAGAACTTGACTTCCAAAATGGCTTGCTCCTTTCGAGCTGCCACGGGTCTATGAGATGCAATTTATTTCCACTGCAAGCAGCCCTTCTTGCTACTGCCTACCATCACAGGAAACACAGACAGCTGGGCCTGACGGGTGCAGAAAATCGCGTGTTATCCGCTCCATTCAGCAGAGCCCGCAAACCCGCGGCAACCGACGGACGAACGTTAAGGGCGGGCGGGGCGCGGGGGGGTGGGGTGGGGGGGGAGAGACACCCGAAAACCCAAAAGGCCCAGGCGCCGCGCCTCCTTCGCGCAGCAGGCGCCGGCTCGCGCCCTCCCGCCACGGCCGCCGGCCCCGCCCCCCGTCCCGCCGCGGCCACGCCCCCCGTCCCGCCGCGGCCACGCCCGACGTGAGGCGCGGGCCCGGCGGGCGGGGGCGGGGCCTGCGCCGCCCCTCCCCCCGGCGCCGGCGGCGGCCTCCGCGCGGGCCTCCCAGCCCCTATTCCACTCACTTTGTTCTGCGCCTTTGTCCTGGTCCACACCAGCAGGTGGAGCCGCAGTGAAAGTTTCCCGTCCGTTCCGCGAGCGGGAGCCCATCTTGCTCGCCGCCGCGGCCCTCGCTGGAGGAGGAGGGTCAGAGCTCGGGGGCAGCCAATCGCGCGCAGCGCTGCTAGTTATCGGGGCAGAATGGGCTGTAGTTGAGTGGAATAGGAAAGCTGCAAAACACTGTGGAGTGCTGCGGTGTAAATAAAAAGGGGGGAAAAGTTTCTCAAGTCGCCGCCGCACGACGTCGGGCCGCGCCGCGCCGGGGCGGGGGTCTGCGCTCTCCGAGCGGCCGCGCGCGGGACTCTGTGGTGCCGCCAGCCCCGGCCCCATTGTTTGTGTTTTCTTCAAAATATGGCAAAGGTTCAGGTGAACAATGTAGTGGTGCTGGATAACCCGTCGCCTTTCTACAACCCGTTCCAGTTCGAGATCACCTTCGAGTGCATCGAGGACCTGTCTGAAGGTGAGTGGCGCCGGGCTGTCAGTTGCGGCGGCGGACGTTAAAGTTTCCCGGCCCGGCCTCGCGCGGGGTGGGCCGCGGGCCGGCGGGCGGGCCGGCGGGCGGGCGGGCGGGCGGGCGGGCGGGCGGCCATGCGAGGGAAACTTGAAGTTGAGGGACGCCGGCCGCAGCGCAACTTGCGAGCAACTTACCGGGCGGAGGGAGCCATGTTGTCAGCTTTGTCTGCGCCGGGCGGCGCCGGCTCGCGAGGCGCCGGCGGGGGTCGTGCGGCCTCGGCGGCCCCAGGGCCCCGCGGCCCGGCGGGGAGCGGAGCCATCTTTCCCGGCGGCACGACGCCTGCTCCGGGCCGCCGGGGGCGAGCGGGCCCGCGCCTTCCCGCCCGAGCCCCGCCGGGGCTGTCCTCGCGCCGCTCTCCGGCTCCCGCCACCAACCAGCGCGGAAGGCGGGCGCTGACTCGGCCCCTGCGCGCCGTGCTCCCCGCGGGCGCCCGGGATGCTGAGCGCAGCCTCCCCAGCCGTGAGGACGCCTCCCCGGGCCACCGAGACCTCTCTGAGACAGTGCGGGGCTAGGAAGTTCCATCCTGCCCGAGAGCCAAAGCAGGGCGCTTCTAGAAAGTCTCAAAGACTTTCCCCGGGAAGTATGAAGATGCAATTAAAATAACTCCAGGTCCAGGCGGATAGAGAAAAAAATACGGACGTTGGCTAGGAAATAAAAGCCCAAGTCTTTTCGGAACTACGTTTTGCGGTTTAAAAAGAGAGAGAGAAATAGTGGAGGAATACAGAATTTAGAAAGCTACAATGTGGGTTCAATCATTACTTTTCTTAGGTTTTTACTAAAATCAGTGCTTCATTTTCAAAATTTGAAACAAGTTTAACTCCATCAGTGTTAATTTTAGATAGTTAGGAGGACATCTTGGGACTTGGAAGTATTTCGTAAAAATGCCTTTGAGAGTATTATCCTATTAATGACGGAAAGAATTTTTCTTTTCATTTAAAAATTTTTAATCTCTACAATGTATTTTATGTAGGATGTTAACTTTAATTACAAAAAACAATATATGGCCGTTCAAATAAACTTTAAAAAGTTTGACCCACTCTTAGCTAACCACACCATCACTTTAAAATGTACCTGTCTGTTTTTAATACGTATATAAAGCATAAATGCATATACATTTCATATGGGGGAAATATTTTGAAGAATGACTCACGATTAAAATATCGTAATCTCTAAATAGGCTGTGATGATGTAAGATTAAGGGTGTTTTGCTTAAAACTCCATTTGTTACTGTCCAGTAGTATTAGTAAAAGCATTTCCACACCAGACCCATTTCCAAACCCAGCATTGGTTTCTAACTGCCCATTTATATACAAATATAAAGGGAAAAAAGCATGGATGAGTCCATCCTAACTCAATAGAAGTGTTCTAGGCATTAGAAGTTCTTCATTTTACAGGTATTTCTCAAGTGATGGCTTCCATTTTAGAATTCAGCTTTGTGCAAAGAGGACATGATCTAGGACATTGTTACAGGGTTCCTCCACTGGACAGTTCAAAACCAGCCATCCACAGAAACCAAGTTAGGTTCCGTTTTAAACTGGGTTCCTTTCACAGCAATAGTATCACTCATGTCAATAATATGCCTACCTCTCGTACACTTCAAAACCAGGGCACCATTATTTTAGGGTATTTTAAGCTGAGTCATTCCAAAGCTGCAAAGGAATCTTGCAAAAAGGTGCCATTCCTGTATACTCCATCTAGAGGCTGTGTGGAGTAAGGAAGGAAATGGAGTTGACTGATTTTGCAAAAGCTCTTTTTTAGGTTCCATACTTTGGTTGTACTGTGAGTTTATTTTTAAAGTTCTTGAAGCCACACTACAAAATCCTTCGAAGGGAATTTTGAGTTTATAATTTGTGTCTGCCCCCAACCTACAGAGTAACCACCATTTGTTATGCTCATCAATCATCTTGAACTCGTTTAATTTTCCTTTAAAAGCTGCCTTGTAGCTTTGCTTCAGAAGAAGCCTTGAGTAGTATTTGCTCTGAGGATAAAACGATTATGTCTTATACTGGGCTTCTGTCTAAGAGTAGAGCACATGAAAAAGTGGGATTTTCTAAAGGCCAGTGAGACAGACGGTGCAGCTAGTAAAGCCACTAGCTACCCGAGGTCTTCAGTCATCAGAATCCATACGGTAGACGGAGCAACTAACTCCAACCAGTTGCCCTCCGACCTCCACGTCGGTGCCCATGTACATGCATAAACATAAGAAATGCTTTAAAGTTTTTAAAGGTTTTAAGTAGGGGCTAGTCCATGCTCCATTGGTAAGTCTGTACAAGTCTGATTGGCCTACCTGCAATTTCTAGGTTTAATATTTGCAGTACACCCAAACTGAGCCTGTGGCTTTATACTTTCAAAGTTCTACAGATTCCCAACAGTGTAATTAACTTACAATTTCCTTGGTAACACCCCTCCCATCACACATGGAGATACTTTCTGTCTGGGATTAAATGGAAAAGTTAACTTTTTCAATAAGTGAGTAAATCCCAGCTAGGAACTTGTAGTGCCACAGGCCTCATCCGTAACTTCCTAAATCAGAGAGGAAACCCGGCTTTATAAACAAACTAATAAATAAGCGTGCCAAAACCCGGTGCCCCTTCTTGGGTTGCTGCTTGTCTTGCTAAGGCTGGATTGTCTAGCTTTCCACTGCCAGTCTTTACCCATCTTCTGTACTCTTTAGTCCCATTACTTCACAGCTACACAGGGCAGGATTTGCCCAGTTACTCTGACTTACTTTAAAGCCAAGGCTTTTGAGTAGCAGCAGCTCAACTAGCTGTGTGAATTTTAGCAGATTACTTATCTTCTCAGCTTTCTTGTGTATGTACACTTGCACAGTATGTGTGTGCTTGAATGATCTATCTGTATAAAAAGCATTTGTGAAAAGTGACAAAGTCCATTCGAATACCTTAGCTCACTTAGTAGCTTTTCATATACCCTTCCTAAGTTTCTTCATTTGGCTTTTGGATCACATCCCTCATTGGCCACTAGCTCAGGAAGATGACTCTTCATCTTCCTGACCTGTTAAATTTGGAGAGTCCACAGGCTCAGTTCCTAGGAATCCCAATTCTTTTCCTTGTCTTTATGTATTATTGCCAATTTTCTATTTTTTAAGATTTGACCTATGTTGTGTCCATACTGAAATATCCAATAGAAATTCCAAACATGTATAAAATTAACTCCTAATTAATTTCTCCTTGACACCTGAAAGTGGCTACTGCTGCTTCCATCTCCAGACTCTACACCACCCTCATGGCCCCCATAGTGACCCACGGCACCATAGTTTCCACCCTCCTCCGGTTGTGGAAACAGGTTTGTTCCCTTTTTCTCATCCAGTCTATACGAGGCACAGCAGTTAAAAAGACCCTTTAAGATGAAAAGGGAGATGGATCCCTGTCGAGTCTCTGCTCACAACCTTTAGGTGCTGGGGCTGTAGCCTGGTTAAGTGGGTGCCTACCATTTGTAAAGCTCCAGGTTTGATCTCTAACACAAGAAAACTTGTGGTTTTCCATGTCACTCAATATAGAGCCATGACATAATGGGTCCTCAAAAACTGTTGACTTTTAAAACACTACAAATAATAAGGAAGTTGAAATTTTAAAGTTTCAATTTGCAATATATTATGAATACAAAGAAATACCAATACCCCTACAAATTTAGGGAATATGTGCATAATCATACACAAAATGGCTATGTTGACATTCTCCAGAGTGAACCAGGGAAGCAAACCTTAGGGAGCGCTTAGTATGGCTTCACTGTAATGAAGCCAGGCATAGACCACACATGCTCAGCACCATAGGAGATATCTGTCATCTATCTTCATCCCTGTTCAAAAGGAAATGGTTTTAGTCCTCTCTGTTCTCCACAGAGACTTTTCTAAAACGGTGCCTAATGAAATCTAGATCGAATCACAAGACAAGTCTTAGGTTGTACTTGAGTGTATCATGCCCCTGCTGTGTGAGGAGGTGTGAGGATCTTTGGTTTTAAGAATGTATGGCAGAAAGGAGTAACAGGAGGAAACAGCCCTACTGTATTCTTTAGCTACAGTTGGTGTAGTGGCAATGTGTATCAGTGGTAACTACAAGTCAGTACAAACTGTCAGTTATTTGGGCCAGCAAGAATGAGGAATTTATACCAGATGATGAAGCCTCTTACTTCTGAACCACAAGGAAGGTTTGCTGACAGTTGCCCACTCCGGGTTCTGTGCTGATTTCTGTCTCACAGGGCAGCCTTTCCTCAGTGGTGAGGCAAGGCTGGGGGATTGCACAGTAAAGCACCTGGGCAATGGGATCAGGCTTCTTTACCAGAGCAGATGTCTGAGTATTGTACCATTTGCTTTGTGAGTACTTGGGGAAACTTAGTATTTCCCTGGGTTTTGTTCATTTTTTATTTGGGAGGAGTCCTCTCCAGGGACCAGTGCTTCATGAAAGAGAATTTGGAGAGGTTATTGGAATGAAACAGGAATTCTCATAATAAATTCATAAGGAACATTTCCATGTTTTTCTAGATGAGGACTTTATCATCTGTTAATATAATTGCTATTGATTAATGAAATAATGCTTTTGGTTTTTAACCCTAGACTTGGAGTGGAAAATTATCTATGTGGGCTCTGCAGAAAGTGAAGAATATGATCAAGTTTTAGACTCTGTTTTAGTGGGCCCCGTACCTGCAGGAAGGCATATGTTTGTTTTTCAGGTAAGATTACTCTTAAATTGTATATGCCAAATATGTTTCTTATGGTGATATTTTGTTTATGATCTAACAAGTAAAGCTTGCCTGAAGCCAGATAAGCAAAGTGGCCAGCCACTAGAGAGTTCTCGCCTCTATCAATGCTCACACTGAAGGGGCGGTTGCATCTCCAGACTGCACTGAACTCTTGTCTAGTGCTGGGATTAAAGGAGTGGGACCCCAAGTGCTGAGATCACCTTTGTGTGAGCTCTGTCTCTCTTTTAGATAGATTCAATCTCGTGTAGCCCAGGGTGGCGTGAACTCACATCTGCCTCTGTCTCCCGATTGCTAGGATTAAAGGTGTGTACCACCACTGCCTGGCCTCTATGGCTAACTAGTGTGGCTAGCTTTGCACCCTGATCTTCAGATAAGCATTATTTGTTAGATTATGAACAAAATATCACTACAGTTTCTAATAGACTAAATAATCTCAGAGCTCTTGATCCTTTTTGTGTTAAGTAATTTTACTTCATAGTTTGCTCTGTTGTTTCAGGCAGTGTCTGTCATAAAGGAGTTCTGTACTTGAGTCTGTGCACAGTAAACTGTATCATGGCACACAAGATTGATTTGGGTTTTGTCCTGTGGAACAGTTCAAGATGAAAGCATCCCCAAATATGTGTTCAGATAGTGTGCTGGTTAGTAACGTGTGTCTGCTGATTAATTTCAGCAATCTCATTTTAACATGGTCAGTAATTGCACGGCTAAGAAATGTTAGCAGATGGAGATGTGTGACTGAGCCACTGGGATTAAAGTCTTGCACCTCACTGAAGCTGCTTGTCTAGATTTTTACAGAAGACTGCTGTGACATGCCCATTACCAGTTAGAACTCAAGAGTAGGAACTCTGTAGTATAAATCATGTTCTTAGATACCGCTGACAGAATTTAGGTCTGTGCCTAGGTTTGAGACATTGTCTTTTGTATTAGTGTTATTTCTCCTACTTTTCATTAAATTGCTATGTTAAACTAGTGACTTTTTTCAATTACCCATGCTTCTTAAGAGGGAGCTATTTATAATACTGCAAGGTGTAATGAGCTAGCTTTTAAATAACTATTAATTTTTGTTAAAAGTATTTCTGACTAACCAACCGAGTCCCACTGCAGGCAGAATTCAGGAGAAAAATCTACTTCCTATCCCTGACCTCTATTTCTCCCTTCACAGTTCTAGGGAATACTCCATTTGAAGAAACCCATTAGGAATGGGAGAGGAGTTGCTAAGAGCACACTGTAGAGAAGCTGCCTCTTCGATATAGAACCGAGGGGCTGGGATTGAGGGTTTGCTGTTAGCAAATCCCAAATAATTTAGTGTATATGAACATGGCAAAGAAAGGCTCAACTACAGTAATCTAAAGGCTGTAGTACTTTAATTAAAAGTGTCATTAAAATGTGTTGTGTGTGTGTGTGTAACCTTGTGAACACCATAGCAACCCAGAGTGTCTAAGAAAGCACTACAGTCTCAGGCAGGCCTGACCCTTCTGCTTACAAAGACATGTAACCCACTAATGAATCACCTCATAAGAATGTTAGGAATAAGGCAATTAGCAAATTACTGACAAAACTAGCTCTATCTGTAATTAATTAAGACTTACTTTATTCTCATTATATAAAGAGGCAGGATTTGTTTGGACCCATAAGCCTGAGGGCTACATGCTGTACTGATAGTCACGATGTAGTAAAAGAAGCTCACCTTAATGTATAGTCCTACATACCCTTTGTATCCCTGGTTTTGGAGTGGGCCTTTGGGAATCTTTTGTGTTTATGTTAAGAATTCCTCTAGCTTTTGGCTTGCTACGGTGCTGTGAGGAAAATCTCAGCAGTATGTAGCTTTTGTTGGTATCAGTGTAAATGTTGCCAAAAAGAACAGAGAAGCACTGTGATTTCAGTCATGTGTTAGCCTATGCAATTTTCAAAGTCTGACAATTATTAACAAAAAGAAACTAACGTATACTTTTTGTTTTGTTTTATTTGTTCTATTTTCCTGGTCTGCTGTTTTCTTAAGAGTGGGTCTAAGACTAGCAGGGAGATGTCCAGACATCTGCCCAGTATTAATTAAGGGTTGGGTAAACAAAAGTGGTCCCCATCACTTTTCCATCCTTAAAGACCTGAGAGGTATACACATTTCTTGACCCAAATTTGTTCAAGCTGAGTCCTCTGGCAACCATGTTTTTAAACAGACATAGCTATAACTAATTTGCTGGGTGGTAGGAACATTACTGACCTCTTTCCCATAATCACCATTTCCAGGTATATTAGAATCCCTTTGGATACCCGGAAAGTAACCCTGGGATGCATAAAATTATAGGACAAAGGGTATAATCTACAGGAGAGGGTCTATGTCCCCACCCTTGGTGTCTGTCCAAAGGGATCATAAACCCGATCAGAATGGGAACTGAGTAATGAGAAAACTCTAAAATAATAAATTGTTATAGCTACATTTAGATGGTTAGGACATAGATAGGACAGAGATTTGTGTCAAGTAGCATAAACACATAAAAAGGGGACACTGCTGCCTTCTGAATCAGAAAGGACTTTGCTTGGAAAATAGGCTTGATGAAGATATCAAGAGGTCAATCTGGGAGAAAGTGGAGAAGGAACTTTACAGCCAAGGGTACTGTTTGAGGCAGAGGCACGAAAGGGTCCAGCACATCGTACAGAACTTGTGTTATTTATTCATGCACACAACACACATGAGGTTAGAAAATGTGAATGGCCTTACAAATGAAATTAAAGATGTTTATCTCCTAGAGAAGGAACTAAAGCATCTAAGGAGCAGAAAGAGCTCCATGTTTAAATGGCAGCAATATAAGTCATAAACAGCAAGCTAGAACTAAGACAAGTTAGAAAACTTAGAGGCATTTTGCAGAAGAGATGAAGATGAGTGCCTGGCATTCAGAAATGAGATGCTGAGAGCAACAAGGTAATAGAACAAGAAGAGAAGCTAAAGGTGACAGATTTTTAGTCTCCATGAGTTTTTATGGTTTTTAGTGCTGTGTGTGTGTGTGTGTGTGTGTGTGTGTGTGTGTACCAGTCTTTTGGTTTTTTTGACACAGGGTTTCTCTGTGTAGCCTTGGCTGTCCTGGAACTAGCTCTGTAGATCAGGCAACCAGGCTGATCTCAAACTCACAGAGATCTGCCTGCCTCTGCCTCCTGAGTATTGGGATTAAAGGTGTGTGCCACCACTGCTGGGCTATCTAATTAACAGTCTTAAGCATGTACAGAAGTGAAGTGTTCATATGCAGAAGATGGTCCCTGGTCGCTGGTAAACAGTAAACAAATGTTGGAGTTCCATTTGTTCACCACACAGAATGGCTGTTTCAGGCTTCACCATCACTGTGTCTTACTAGTTTGTGGTCCTCCATCGAGTCAATCTCAGTCATCTTGCTCATTTCTGCGGACATGGCCCCAGCTTTTCTGGTATCTTTAGTTACTTCCAGTTCTGTTGTCTGTCTTCATTCCTCAAGATTTACCATGATTCAAAATGTGGTCTTTGAATTATCCGCTTAAACAGTCTTTGCCTGCACTAAATTTCCAGTATATTTGGCTCACTACATTATATGTAATGCCCAACAAAGTGACTGCTTACAATATATGCTTTGCTCTGTAGTTTTCAAGGCCCAGCGTCAGTTTTATTCACTATTTATGTGTACTAGTTTCTTAGTTGTCCTAGGGAATGAACTAAGTTGTCAGTTTTATATAGTTTACTACTGAAGTATTTGCAAAAGGTGGCTGACTAGATATAAAGAACCTGGGTCCAATAGATGGAAACTGATCTGATGAACATTTATTGGAATAAGTTCTGTGAAACTAATTTGATACATAGTAACTTGGGACTGAAAATTAGGACTGCAAAGGGTTTTAGGATCATTACAATGATTGAGTTGACTATAAAAATGGATTTTATAATGACTATTATGTAATTAATCATACAGTAAAACAAGAAATTATTTCCTTCTTTAGCTATAATTGTGCTTGCAAAGTACTGAGGGTACCCAGGCCTAATAACACAAAAATGGGGACCTAGTGGGTGTGGTGCTGTTCACCTGAAATTCTAGCACTCAGGAGGCAGAGCAAAAGAATTGCATAAATTTGTGGCCAGCTTGGATTGAACAGTGAGTAACAGGACAGCCAGGGCCATATAGCAGGACTCTGCTTCTAAAAGTCAAAAATTAATAAGAAAACATCTCTCCCACTAATGTGATTTCAAGTAGTACTAAAGTAATTGAAATGGTACCTGCCACTAACAGTCTTTTTGTGTGTTTTGTCTTTTTAAAACATACCAGGCTGATGCACCGAATCCAGGACTCATCCCAGATGCAGATGCAGTGGGAGTAACCGTTGTGCTAATTACTTGCACCTATCGAGGTCAAGAATTTATTAGAGTTGGCTACTATGTAAATAATGAATACACTGAAACAGAATTAAGGGAAAATCCACCAGTAAAACCAGATTTTTCTAAGGTAATTATCTTACTATTCTTTTTTTGTTTTGTTTTTGGTTTTATGTTTTGTAAGACAGTGTTTGTTTCTCTGTAGCTTTGGAGCCTGTCCTGGAACTTGCTGTGCAGACCAGGCTGGCCTCGAACTTAGAGATCCACTTGCCTCTGCCTCCCAAAGGTGTGTACCACCACCACCTGGCCCTTACTATTCCTTTTTAATTACCTGTACTATTCAGTTTTTAGGGGTTGCTATTTCATTCTATACTGTGAACATGGCCTTAAAGAAATTTGGAGTTTTGTAGTGCTTCAACAAACTAATCATTGTTCGTTTTGCACTGATAGCCTCAAAACCTTGAGTCAGATGGTCTAGCTTCCTGCAAAAAGCAGGCCTTTGTTGCAGTGAAGTATTTTATTTCAACCTTGAAGACATGTAATGTCCTATTTTTATACTGAAGTGATTATAAAATATTTTTTGCCTATAACTTACTAAAATCATGGCACTTACTAAAATCATGGCAAGATTAATGTGGTTTGTTGCTCATTTCTTTGGTGATGGTTTTGAGATGATTTTCTGCTGTATCCCAAAGTGACCTTGACCTATGGCTATGGCACTCTTCCTCAGTAGTCTGGGCTTTAGGATTAGTTGTCACTATGCCCAGTGTGTGGTGTGTGCTTACTTCTATTAATATCTATTAAAATTTAGAATATCTATGTATGTTATCCTATCTGTTGTTCTTAGAGGTTAAACTAAAGGTATTAAGTATTTCTGATGATGACAATTTAAATTCTGAGACATCACAATCTGATTCAGTGGTCTTAAAAACAGTATCTTAGATTTATTTCCACTGGTAATGGTTAACAGGCTTAGTTACTGGTGATTTTTTTTACTCTATGTGGTACTCTGTGTGGAAAACTTGCCATAGACTAGAGTTTGCTTTCTGCTGGTGGGGGTGGTATGTTTTCCATAATTTAGACACATCCTATTGAGCCAGGATTAGTAGGACCTTTGTATAGCAGAAAAAAAAAAAAAATAGAATACTGTTTCTAAAAAATTTTTAATACATTACAGTTAAGATCCCAGTAATTAGATGTTCTTTTTGAGGAAAAATTTTCAAGTCTTGTTTTTTGTTTTATTATTTGGTGCTTATTTGAACCTAGAGACTTAGCCAGTGTACTTCCTTTGCACTGAACTATATTCCCAGCCTGAAAACACATTAGGCTAAAGACATGCTTATTTAACTGAAAACATCCTTTAAAGAGTGTGCAGAAGTACCTCCCCCTTCAATATCCTTTAGGAAGCAGAAGTGTAAAAGCAAGGTACTTGTGTGTGAAGGGGTAGAAGATCTAGGGACTTTTCCCTCACCTTGTTTCCAAAGGCGAATAATAGTTCTTTTGCTATTGTAGTCCTTGCTTACTAGTGAGGTTCAAAGGACTACAGAGTCATTCAATGTGCATATGGTAATCTTAACTTTCCTTGTGCTTATTGTTTAAATGTTTCTTTTCTAGCTTCAAAGAAATATTTTGGCATCTAATCCTAGAGTCACAAGATTCCACATTAACTGGGAAGATAACACGGAAAAACTGGAAGATGCAGAAAGCAGTAACCCAAATCTACAGTCCCTTCTTTCAACAGATGCATTACCGTCAGCATCTAAAGGATGGTCCACGTCAGAAAACTCACTGAATGTCATGTTAGAATCCCACATGGACTGCATGTGACCAGGTGCCATCCCAGTGGTACAGATTAAGCTATTAAAAACAGAACTATTTCCCTGAAGTTCCGTAAGTACATAGTCAAGGTGAAATGTGAAGAATTTGTTTAAAAACATCCTGTAGAAAGTTTATAAGAAAACCAGTATTTGAGCAAATTGTGGAATATAAATACAACTATTTTTAAGTACTTTTTTTCTCTAATGTGTTATTTTATTTGTTCATGAAACTAATCTGGTTAAAGTATATATACATATATATTATTTTCTTCTCCTTTATATGTAATTAAAGCACTTATAAAAAGAAAACTTATCAATTATTAGACCAGGTTGTGAAGGTGTTTTAGCCTCTTGGACAATAATACTTTTTACTAACCTTTAAAAGAACAAAGTTTACTTCAACTAAAATGCTTTTTCCTATGAAGACAGTGTCCTTTTAATTTAAGGAACAAACTTCCATCCTGTAGTAAAAAAAGATGTCTTTAAAAAGGGAATTTGAAATCATCTACAGCCACCAAGGTTTTTCTAGGCCACCCAGTGTGTCTCGTGGCTGCCACCACAGCTTGTGTTAACACTGGACTTCTGGGTTCTATGTAATAAATGCAGCTACCTTTGAAGTCCCTCTGACTATAGTTTATGCTTCCCTACTTCTAAAATTGAGAAACCATGATCACAAATCATTGCCCAGAGATTTCAACATGGTGAGAACAAACACAAGGTTTCTAAAGTATAAGATTAGATTATAATGGCTCAGATATGCTATTCAGTTTACAGAAACTCCGAATGTGTGTTGTCGTCACTGTTGCTACAGAAAGGTAATTTAGAAAGGTCTACTTAGCTTTATCCTACTAGGCTGGCTACCTTCAGAAGTATGTCTTAGGTTCACAGCTACAATACCCCATATCCTCTGCTTCTCATTAAAATGGTAAGATCAGGGCATATCTGTAGTTGACATATTCTAGACAGCTTTTCCAGACAGTTGTTTTGATGAGCAATTTTAGAAAGGAATTTACCAAATAAATGGGCCAAAAACTTATTTTCTTTAATGAGAAATAGGTACTTTCTCAAGGTTTTGCTCCATTAAATTTACAGTAGGATATTTTCACTTGACGTGTGCTGATGATAAGCAAGGATAGCCACAGGATGCAAGTTATGTGGTGCCTTCACATCTAAGTTTTATCCTGCACTTTTAAGAGCATTTTAAGGACAGGAAAAGGCATTTGTTTAAATAGACTCTTAAGTTGTATATATTTCTTGCTATTTTAAAAGGTGAATTTGTGAAACAAGTCTTGTTAAATGTTAAACTTTGAAATTTAATACTCCAGATATTATAGTATTATCCATAACCCAGTTCATAAATTATAAAAATAAAACACTTCTAAAAGTATTTGAAAAGAAAAACCTCATTTTTGTCTCACTGCAATTAGGAGAGAAGGTTAAAACAAGAGTGATCAATGCAGTAGGAATAAGTTTGTTAAAAAATAAAACATAAACTAAAATCACTAAGTAAAGCAGTTCACTGGAGTATTTATTCTGATTATGGAAACCACTTTGCAATGACATGTTTAGGTTTTTATATTAATTTTTAAATGTATAACCCACTGTCACAAAAGTTTGAGGCATAAAACTATAGCCTTTTACTATTTTAAATGCTACTGCTTTGTAGAATTTAAAGATAAAAAATAAATAATAACAGAACCACTTAAATTAAGTATTAAGAGTTAAGAAATTAGCATGCGGGGATTTCCCTCCTATTTAACCTCATTTACAGACATGTCTGAATTATAGCTAAAAGGCTTAGATACCATCCCCAAAGCCCGTTCTTTATTTTCTTCGAGATAGGGTCTCTCTATGTAGCCCTGGGTGTCCTGAACTAATTATATAGATCAGGCTGGCCTTCAACTCACAGAGATTTGCCAGCCACTACCTCCTAAGTGTATATGTCACCATGCCCAAAACCATTTGCTGTGTATTCTGTGTATGTGTGTGCTCATGTGCGTGTGCATGTGTATGTGTGTGTCCATTCATAACCCTGAAGAGCTAGGTGAGTAGGTAGTGAAGATATCATTTGAGTTAAAGGACAACTCTAGAAACTGAGGAGGCATGCATTTGCTCATTCAAACCTTGTCTGGTCCTTACCTATAATTATTTTACTCTTTAGTTTTAGGGTCTAGTTTTACTAGGGAAGTCCATGGGGGCTGTCAACATGGCTCAGCAGGTGACGGCGCTCACTGCCAAGACTGACTGCATGAATGTTACACCCAGGGTTCACATGGTGGAGAAACTAACTCCTGCCAAGTTGTTCTCTGCACTCCATATATGCACACACAAAATAAAGAAATGAACGGTGATACAAAACTTAAAGAAATAAAAAGCTGTGGCAGTTTTATACCATAATCCATAGTGATGTAGTATGACCTTGCAACACAAGTATGCATTTATATGAAAAAATTTTTCGTGAACATGGCTCTTTGCTGCTACGCTTTACTATGTGCAACCTGACTCTAAAGGATTGCAAAAGGATGGCAAAAGGCCACTGACATCTTTGGAGTGGGGAAAGTAGCAATAAGTTTCTACACTTGTAAAATCTTTACTAATCTTTTTTCTCACACTTAGAGTATGATCTTGACATTCAAAATGAAGGAAAGGTGCTAATTCAGTTTACGTTATCACTAACACTTTGAAGCCATAGCCATTTATTGTGAAAGTAGGACTAGTCTAACATTAGCAGTTGCCTGCAGGATGGCATGGCCTTGTTTCTTGACACTCCTCACAATTTCATGCAATTACAGTGTCTTGATTTTAGCATTTAGAACATTGGGCCATGAGGATTTTAAAATGTACGGGCAGCACTCTGCAGAGCGTTCCTTCTCTTCCGTGTTCCCAGGGTACAGATCCCATCTTCTCGTCAGTTACTAATAGTGTTTAAAGTCCTTAGAGGGAACTGTGGGGTTGCTTCCTTTTATGATGGACTTTGTAAGTGCTCATCAGAACTCTGAGTAGACTACAGAAATGAGACTGTCTTAAACATGTACCAGCACCTAGAAAATATGTGGAACCAAAGCCCTATTTTTATAAGAACAGGGAAATAAAACTGTAAAAATAGAAGACAGCAGGACACATTTTAAAAATAATTTCTCCTAAATTTCCTGTCACTTTATAACCAGATATTGACAGTCTATCTGTAAAAGATTTTAAATATACTTGCTAAAGTGTTATTACAGTGTACAAATGAAATCTCTTAGTACATATGTGAACATATACTTTCTACATATACAAATCTCTGTAAGGTGTCATTAGGAGCCACTGTTGTCCATGAAAATGCCTTAAGCTATATGCCATCTCTACCTACTTAAAAATGAATTTCACTATTTTGATGTTGTGCTTGGTAGATCTTTATAAAAATGATGTCTTTACATTTTCCTACATAAAACTTAAGTTCCGAACAGAGGACATGAACGTTTTTGAAACGCTTTCTTAATAGTACAACACGGATGCTATCTTTCCTTCCGTTTTTGTCAGTGACTTAGAGTAACTACTTGAAATTACCCTACAAAGGTACTTTTTCATAAGACAATAATTGTGTTAGTTTCTCTATTAATGTAATTTAATTTACTTAAAATTGTCACACACAGTACCTGCACTAGTAGATCCAATTCCTGTGGTCAATACAGACCTTGGTGTAATCTTTGCTGCGTATTTGAGGAATTGCGATTTACCTGTGCCAGGATCTCCAACCAATAAAAGATGAGATTCACCTAGGGGAAAATGTGTAAAGGTTCAAAGTTCTTAAAAGATCTATGATTGATAATAGAAAAGAAAGTGGCCCATATCAAATACCATCACATCTAAAATGGCATTTTGACAAATTTTATGCAAGGTTCTTCAGGAAGAAGTTAATGAGAAACTCTTAGAAAAGTTAACTGTCACAAATACAGCAAATTTTGGTTACTGAATGTGACATTGAAAATTTTAAATCCTTCAATAGTGTGTGTGCTATTTCCAGATGCTGAAGCCCATATTTAACATTTTAAAATCCTTGACTTACAACAACTTTGTTTTTTTTGTCTTACTTTTAAATCCAAACTACTGTGATTAAAGCTATCCATGTAAGTCCTACAAATTTTTAAAATACTTCTAAATGTTGGGGGTTTTATAAGTGCTTTATACATATCAAATCATGATTATATTAACTAAAATTTTTTCATTTGTGTAAATTTACATAGCTTAGTGAAGTATCTTCCTTAAAATGATTACATAGTCAATTTTCCCATTTAACATAAATGGACAAGCCTATCCTATGGTAGATACTTATACTGGACAAATTTCTTTAGTAATATGTATTTTCTAAATATATTAATGAGAAACCATTATTTAAGCTTAATATTTAGCAAAGTGCCTTGCAGATAACAGATGATCAAAATATACAATTTATAAAATGTTTCTGTTTGCTACTGTACTATAAGGTCTTAGACTTCTGCTAACAACCTGACTTAGAGTAATGCTCTTTTAGTGTTTGGGTTAACTCTGGTTATTAACAGTCCTGTGTGTGCCATGCTTGCTGAACAGCTTTCTGCCATGAGTGTTGCACTTGGAGTAGTGTCTGCTTGAATGTGACCTACAGTAGCAACTCCTGGCAGATGGCTTAGCTGCTGTCTACAGCAGTGAGAATCAGCAGGCAGACGACTGAGCAGTAGTCCACAGTTACAGCAGTCACAGCTGGAGACCAACTTGGAGACATTAAGACACCGCTTCTAATAATCTCTTACTCTTTTTGTTTTGTTTTGTTTTTACAGGCTTGTAGTATATAAGCACTGAAAATTTAGTGATTTCTTTCATCTTTCTGGAACTAGAGAGCCTAGCTTCTGACAAATATGAAATAGCCTATATGAAAAATCCAGTTATGAGAAACTACATGCAGTTTTTAAAATTAATTCTTAAGTTAGCATACAAAATAATGTACTTTATTTGGGCATTTTCAAACATATGCATCATTATAACTCACCGCTCCCACTGTCCAACAAGCAGTTTTTGTTCAAGAAAGAAAGGGTCTCCCTTCCCCTCTATGTTAGTATTTCTCAAAATGTGGCAGCAGGTACTGACCTCTGACCCTTGTTCCTGCAGCGTCGGTTCTTTGAATTCCACCAGCCAGCACCATGGCCACAGCAAGCTTTACTAGATACATCCCAAA